TTCCTTTTTGATAAAGCTTATAGTTAGGGTGGATCAGGTGACCCTGAGCCTTCCCTTAGTTATGCTGCTATATGCCTAGGCTGCTGGGGGGCCCATGATGCTCTGAGTTTCTCTCCTCTCTCTCCATGCATCTATATGCCACCATTACATGTCACTAACTGTGTATTCCTCTCACTCTCTCTTCCTGTACCATTCTGGTTCTGGAGCTCTACGTTTCTGATGAGCAGTCACTGGCCACATCACTGTTTGATTGTTTGCTGTTGTGTCTTGTTGTGTCTTGTTGCTTTTCTCTTCTTTTGTCTCTCCTCTATCCACTCACCCCAGCTGGTAGAGGCAGAAGGCCACCCACCAAAAGCCGGGGTCTGTCGGAGGTTTCTTCTGTTAAAGGGAGTTTCTTCCATTAACATTTTTGCTCATTGGGTATTTATTGGGTTTTTCCTCTATAATAATAATAATAATAATAATAACAGTAAGGTCTAGACCTTACTTGGTAAAGTGTCCTGAGATTACCTTTGTTGTGATTTGGCACTATACAAATAAAATTGAACTGAAGTGAACTGAATTGAACTTTGTGAGTGTGCAGTTAAATTCAGACACTGATTTGCTTTGGATTAAACAGGAAAGGTGTAAAACCTAGCAGATGTTCTGCTGAGAAACACAGAGAGGATGTGTGTGTGCACTGGGAGCAAAGTAAAACAATATCACTTGTTTTCACTTACTTCCACAGCTCTGGTCCTCCTGTCCAGGTAAAATGACTGTAAAGAGACAGGTAGACAGAAAAAAACATGAGTGCAGTGAAGTAAAATCAGTGCAGCTCCTAAAGATCAAACAAAAAATGACAAGACCAGTTAATTTCCCTCAAAGGCTTCACACTCATGTAGGCAGAATGCTGACATCTTCATTAAGCTGTCTTTTTCATTTCAGCAGAACAAGTCAGCATTACATTGTGTCTGATTAAATTTCCTGTGTGAGTGTAACTGGATTTTCCTGCTTATATCCACATCAGTCTGCAGCAATTTATTACGCTCCAGCATTTACCTGGCACCTCATGAGGTTGGCATGGCCTGGACTGGGTGATGTTGCCCTGGCACAGGCTGGTCTCAGCATCCTGGTCCTCGGCACAGCGTCGAGTGCGATGCTGCAGACCCTCCTCATCACAGTACCCCCACTCCGTCCACTCACCCCAACCTGATGACCAAGCATGAGAATGACAGAAACAATCACTGACATTATTACAAAGTTACAGGTAAAACAGATGAGTTTCTGTCCAAAATTGCATATTATTAGACATGCAGTAAATAGTGATAGAGATGTTTTTCCGTACATTTTGGGATCTGCTTCTGTGTCCTTGTCATCCTGTTTAAAATCCAGCAGTGTGTCTGAAGAATCAGCATTTCACTGCCAACTAATATTAAATACCATTTCAAATAAAAAAACCCTGAATTTCACTGGATTATGGAACAAGACCCAGTCAACTTCTGCTGTTTAGGAGAGGGCTGAGTAACTGCAGAAAGTCATTTTTTGATACTCCACAATTAAATGGGTTGGTGGTGGAATTTTGCATATTGGGTGAAATAACGTCCTTGTAATGAGAAATCTTATGAGAACAAAGTGTCTTTCTCCAGTAGCTAAAATCTTTTCACCTCCAGTGAAACTCAGCAAGCAGAGAAACTGTGTGGAGGGTTAACAAGTGTGCAGGCTGAGAAATGTTGGCTACAGCACAGTGGCCATCATCAGTCTACAGCACAGTTCAGCCTCCTTGTGTGCCTGCAGCTCATTTGTTTACTGAACAAAAGTTTGAAATGGATGAGAAGTTGATTGCATCAATTTGCTTCCCATGTTTTTATTCTTATTTGAAGAACCAAAGGAATAAAGATACATACGCACTGCATCCATGAGGTCAGTGGTAAAATTTGAGGCTATTTTATTAACCAGTTTCTCCATTTGTTTTCTGACTTTGAGCCAGTGCAGCTGGGACAAGCTCCAATAACCATGTTGTTTGTCTTTGCAACACAAATATTGATTCACCACTTGCTGTGTGAATGATATTTCCCATCACTGTTCACTATTTAATCCATGGAGGCAGAGTAGATCTCTGGAGTGTACTTATGGTGTAACATTTATGATAAATGACAATGAATTTGTACAACACAAAACAAAGTTACAAAGCAAAAGGTGTTAAAGGAAAAAATGGCATTAAGATAAGCACAAAATGATTTTTGAACAGTTAGCTGTGTCATCATTTACCTTACAAATTTATTTTTGAATACAGCTCTATAATATCACTTTATTCAGTATTCTATAGCCAAATCTGAAGGCCCAAGGGATCTTCTTTTTACAGTTTGTGATTTATGCTAATTAAAAATCAAGATGGTTTGATATAAAAATCTTCCATACCACAGGTTAACATGTTTCCATACCTTCACAAGCATGTGTGTTGCAGAGGGCCTCTTCAGTGTGCAAGCCTATACAGATGTCTCCTCCATTGGCAGGAGGGGGGCTGCTGCACATGCGAGTCCGCTGATAGTGTCCACCACCACAGCTGGACGAACACTGGGACCAGGGGGACCAGCAAGACCAGGCCCCACTCACTAGAACACACACACACACACACATAATAGATTCTACTTATGTAATATACTTATGATGATTTTGTGATTAAACCAACAGCCAGAATTTTCCTGTTACCAGGGCAGGGTTGAGTGTTGCAGTCCTGATACTCCACTGGGGATCCTACACAAGCACTGGGGTTGGTCCTGCCCTCGGCCATTGAGCAGCCACGTTTTCGTGTTCGGAAGCCTCTGGAACACTGCTGGGAACAGCTGGACCACATTTCCCAGGATCCCCAGCGAGCACCTTGGAGCTAGAGTTCGGCCACTAGTCTTCACCAAGTCTTCAATCAGAGCTGGAAAACACACTTTACTTGATTTATTAGAATTTAAAAACACTATAAACAAAGCAAGAATTTTTCTGTCCTCTTCACGAGCTAAGAAATCTCCAGGAGCTGCAAGAGAGAGAGGAAAGAAAGACAAACTATTTTCAGTCACCGAAAAGAATGGAAGTTGATCCTGACATCTTTTGACACAGCTTGTGTGTGTGAATGAGTGAACTGCTCAGAAAATTCAAACTTTTTGAGCTCAAGGGAATAAAAACAGACTCAACCGAGAGACATTAACTAATGTGGGGCAATGTGGCTCATATTGAAGAATGAATTGGTTTTCCCCCTACACACACACACACACACACACACACAGGAACCCACAATGACAAATTACTTCCATGAATCAGGACTATTCCTTATGTTTCCATTCAAACCTATTCTATGTTCCCTGCTCATACTCAGTACTCACAGTCAGTCTGACAGGCTCCTGACCCGTCATTAGGGCAGAACCGGGTCTCCGCCTTCTTCTTGCCCAGCTGGAGCTGCTTGGGGTCTGGTAGTAGTGCCCGGCAGATGTACCTGAATCTCTGCTCTTGTCGTGACCCATCTTGACTAACATTGACTGGCATCCAGGGGGTCCAGGGGGTGTTGCGACGCACCTCAGGGCAAGCCTCCAGATTACAGGCCTTATACTCCTGGAAGACAACGTGAACCAAGCATATCACTCTTAATGCTGATCAAGTGTAAACCCATCACTGTGTCACAGGCTGAGGCTACTGCTGTCTGTTCTTGCTTTATCTCTCAAAGCCATACATCCTCATTTTGTCAGAATTTCAGCTTGCAGAGACACACTGCTGCCTTAATACATCCCAATATACAAAACTAATACTGCAGTTTTTGCTGGATGGAGTCTATTATGCAGCTATTTACTGTGCTGAATGGGACTATTTACACAAGGTTGCATCCAGCTGAAGGCACAATATGATGCTTCAGTTCTGATTTAATGGTTAAGTCACTGCTAAGTCAGTTGGGGGTACACTGATTGGTGGTAGCACGTTTACAACATTAACAGTCTTCCATTTTAGATGTGCTGGTCTGCATCTGCAGCTTAAACCCCAGGTTTCACCAACTGGAAGTAAACACAGAATCTCATACAGGATCATCTGATGTATCCAAGTTTAGGAGCATGTTATAAACATCTTTGTCAATCTTTAATATCCAAACACTGCAGTACCATGGCACATCCAGGACAAGTGTTCCCGTTCTCACAGGTTCTGGTCCTGGAGTGGACCCCTCCTCCACATTCAGCACTGCAGTGAGCCCAGGGGCCCCACGCTGTCCACGAAACTGGCAGGGGACATGGCTTTTTCTCATTACACAGCCTGGAAACACAGGCATACTGATGTCACTCTTCTCAAAAGTGGGCATATGTAAAATCTTTATGGCATGCAGCAACCATGGCTGATGATGAAATTTCTAGCCACAGTGATCATGTTTCTTTCCCCTATGACTCTTCAAATGCAAAAATATGATGCAAACACCTTACTCCTCACCTCTCTTCTCGGCCCTGGCCAACACAGATTCGACCCCCATGGCGAGGCGAGGGGTTGTTGCAGGACCGCTGCCTCACTTCAAAACCGATACCACAGCTGCTACTGCACTGGGCCCATGAAGACCAGGGAGTCCAGCCACCGTTCCTGAGTAACAGGACGTGAAACAGGAAGTGTAAATATGATCACATGTAACTCAGGAATTCATGAGAGAAAATGCCTCATTCAGGAAATTTTCAACCAGTAAGAACTTGTAAAGAACATTAACAACATGTGTATCTTCATAGTTCAGTTCCTTATAAGTAATATTTTGTGCTGTGGTTCAGTGTGAATATCTGTATAAGGAAACTGCACCGGGAGCAGTTTGCCACTTGGATGGTTGGACCCTTGCATTCGACCCCACCACATCGGGCCACTGGTCCATTGCATGAACGAGATCGACACGCACAGCTGGTGATGGAGCCCTCGCCGTCATCATGGTTACACGGCTGCCACGGAGCCCAAGGACCAAAGCCACCATCCTGTGTCAGGTTCCTCACCTGCAGAGAAGATTTCAGAGGGCTCAAGTGTACATAACTACACAACAGTTGGTCTAAAAAATACTGATGACACCCTGAAATTTGTAGCAACTGGTGTATCACAAGAATATTACTTTATATACAACTGTGTACATTTAAAAAATGTCAGTAATCTTATAATAGAACAAACAACTCAGAATTAATGCTTGTTTTTAAGTATCTCTCACAAAGGAAATGTCTCCTAAACATTCTATTAACAAGTACACATTTTTTTAAACTGTGTCTCCATAGTGGAGAGCAAAACACAGGACTAACTGTGCATCATCTTACTGGACACTCTGTGATGTTTTGGGTCCACTGGTTCATGTTGGAGCTCTCCTCGATCGTGGTGCAATGCTTTTTCTTGTGATCCCAGCCACAGTATGGGTCTCGAGCCTCCATGCAGTGACTAATACGAGTTCAGACAGTGAGTCAGTAACTGTTAGAGTTGCAGAATTATCAAGTTCCTTCTGACACAGTCTTGGTTGCTATAAAATATGAATTCAAAATGACACTGAACACTCCAGTAGTCTTGACATTTGCACACTCAACAGTCCTGCTGACTGTGGAATTGTTCTGTCTCTGTACCAAAGAACTTCTATTGTGCTCTAAGCAGGAGGCCTGCTAGACAGGCTACTGCTGAGAAACTGCTGAACATCATACAATACTTTGTGAAGGCATCTTATGCAAGTGGTGCATTTATTCTCAACAAATCTATTATTAGCTTAGTTCCAGTGGGTAATACCTGCTCTGAGCAAGTTCAAAAGCAGTTTCTTTTCAGACACATCGAGTTGGTTGTTTCTTACTTTTACTATCAATGACAAAACAAGACTAAAATATGACTACAGTCTGTAAAGTCACTTTGATACTGCAGCCTTGAGGCTGATCAGGATTGTACCGTTCTGTTGGATAGCTGGAGCAACGCTCTAATGGGATCTTCACCAGTCTGTCATCAAGCCCCACAAACAAGGACCTGTCACTGTGGAGGATTTGCAGACTCCTGATTGGCCCAGTTTGCCCTTCAGGGAGGATCCTGAGCTCCTCTAGGTAGCACCCATGAAGGCTTTTATTGGTTGTGGCGAGAGTTTTCAGGATGGTGCCATATTCTGTTTGAATAAGATGAGTAATTATCTATTACAAACAGTAATACTAGGAATGCAATTGAAATTATTTTTGGTCAGTTTAAGCTCTCTCTTCTCTTGCTCACCCGTGCTGATGTACATGACATGGTAGAGAGTGTCTCGGCCCTGCACGATGTCCACCACCAGCTTGGAGAAGCGCAGGTTGTCCTGGGTGAGCAGAGGGTTGATGGTCACTGGCTGGACCACGTCATTCATCAGGAAGAGTCGCTGGGCATCCTGGAGGCTGCGCTCTGTGAGGTTTCCCCCGTGGCCTCCCTCCTCCAGTGTGCCACACTGTGCAGCCAGAAAACATGGATTAGTGCCAGGGGTTAGGGGTGTAGACTGGTGGACTTGGCTCTTGAGACACCAGGTTTCACTTGTTTGACTTGACACGTGCTGGTGTAACCTATAACATTAATGGATGCAACAAATGTTTTGAGTCTTTTTTTTATGGTCATTCTCGTTTTTTGCTTAAACTTGACATTTATGCCAAGGGACAGCTCACTAGGACCTGCAGTAGGCTGTTCCTGACATTATAATTATGTGTTAAATAAATGTTAAATCACAATCAGTGCAGAGATTCCATGTGCAGTGCTCCATTTTGATAACATTTTGTACATGCGATGGAACATGCAAACACTTATTGCTGAAGGTGTATCTGATGGAGATGAGCTACAATTTTCTAAGTCATCTCTGTACTCACACACACGCGTCTATGTACTATACTGCAGTAAGTCATCTCTGTACTCACACACACGCCTTGGAGGAAGGCTGAGAAACTGGCGAAGCACAAAACTGTCTTGCATCTATTAACACCATGATGTCAGACAAAAGCAGCTATGTGGGTCCAGATCCGAATCCTTTTTTTTGTTCGTGTGTTACCTGGAAATTGAGTATGGGGTTTGGGGTGGACAGCCAGGCAGTACGGGGGTTCTCCTGGTAGCGGAAAGGTCCATTGAAGGCCTGAGTGATGGAGCTCAGGTTGAAGGCACAGACAGCTGAAGCTGATATGCTGTTCCTGAAGGAGGGGATGTAATCATGGTCAGATCTCAGCAATCCAATAAAAATAAGAAAAAATTCTTTAGATCTTCTAACTAATGCAGAATAGTATTTTGAATTTGGTTTTTGTGGCTGTTAAGAGGCACATATTGGTTTTAGCAGCTTGATCTAACAGGAATCAATCTTCTCATCTATCCCTCGGCAAGAAAGCAAGGCATTCCATTAAAGATAAGAACTATCAGGAAAAATACTCCTTCGATGACAAGACCCATATGGAACATCACTCACACATTAGTGGTGAAGATGCCATAGATCAGGTCCTGCTCTGGTAAATAAAAGGTGTTCTGCAGCTCATTGTAGTAAAAGGGGATTTCTCCTGAGCGGGAGCAGTTGAGTCGGGCCTTCATGAAGGTGGTCCAGGTGTCCTCCAAAAGGAAACGTCCACCCATGTCGTTCTTGCAAACTCGGGCCACACGAGAGAAAACCATCTTCCCACAGTCGTTTTCAACTGCAGTCTCTCTCAGGAAGAAGTATGCAAACCGACCAATTTCATAGACAGACACAAAATGAGGCTCTGGAGGGCACATGAGGGAAGAAAAGATAAAATATATAGAAGTTATATCACCAAACAGAGATATGGGTCAATACCAAGCTGAAAAAACAACCCAGAGAAATCAGAGTGATAGTTTGTTTACCGTTCAGCCATTTGGAGTTGTACTGGGCGGAGCGCAGTGGTGGCATGTTCCCCAGGCTCCTGTAAATGACCGGGTCACGTCCTGAGAAGTCAATCACTGTAGCAGCATACAACTCGCCCTTCTCTGTTACCATGGCGGTAGAGTTGTGACGTGGATCATAGGGACATCGAGCAACACCATTTACTGTGTCCAACACCTGACTGATGTTACCAATCTGACAGAAAGACAGACAAGGATAAAAACAACTCTGTAAATTACAGGAAAAAGAAAATCTCCTGTTTCTGTATTAGAATTTGGTTTGCACAGCGGGCTGCAAATTGCTTCCTATCCTTCTGTTCTATTTAACAGAAGGATAGGAACATTAAATTCATTTGTCAGGACAGAACGAAATGCCCAAACCTGATGCAATCTATCACATTAAGACTTCTGCAGATCATAAAGCCACCAAACGTCTTTAATCATTATCATACTTTGCAGAAACCTATATCCATTTTAGGGCTGAAATGATAAATGAACCTTGGAATCTGGGAGCTTGTGACGAGCAGTTTTCACCATTTTCTAGTCTTTACAATAATTCATTATTTCAAAATAAATAAATGAATTAATAATTTAAATAATAAATGATCAGTTACACAGCTTGCTTCATATGCTGTGGTGAGTTTTAAGTTTCTGTTGTTACAGTAGATACTTATTTGACTACTTATTTATTTTAGTCATTTTGATGGTGAATGGTGCTGGTGGCTCAAACCTGATCTATCTGGTAACTTCATGATAACCTGTTGTACCCACCTGCCTGGTTATACAGACAGGGG